TTAGGATTAGGTCGACCGAAAAAGTTCACGTTACGGTGACATACATGTCACCATAGGTGCACCATATCCTTTATCACATACTAATGACATTATGAACATGTTCATTTTGTCTTGCATGACATTAGACGTACAATACTGAATTGACTAACTAAAGCCTCCATACCTAACGTAGAACCATTGGCGGATCCAGGGGTGGCCAACCCAGGCCCCGGCCCAGCCCTCCTCTGGATCCAAAGTTAGTATAGTCCTTATCAATTTTTCGATTTTAGATATTCGTTTCAGTGTTATTTTATAATAAGATTGTGTGTAATTAGAAAAATAATTCATATGAACATATTCAAATAACTACTCTAAATTTAGCATATAAATTCTAGCCCTAAAGATTTTTCGTTTAAACAAAAATAACGGAACCTGAAATTCTGAAAGTCTAAAGCGTAAAAGACTAATAAAAGAAATATGAGATTTATTCCATTAAAAATTTACTAGAGCAGTTGTTGGATATAGGGATGGACACACACAATGGAAATTGATTAGTCGATTGATTTTAGTGTTGACGTTGTTCGTTTCAACAACTACTACGGCGAGAACCTTATCAACAATGAAACATGAGCGATGAATTACTCGCCGGTTGCTCAAGTAATTATTTGAAACAGAGCATACTAATGGTATGGATGTAGACTCCATTATTGATGTATTCGCTAAATTAAAACACCATCGTGAACAATTGACATTGTAAAAAGATATAAAATCATTATCCTTTTTACGGTATCTAATTTATAATGAAATGCGGCCCAGTACGCTACTGTGTTCTGGATCTGCCGCTGCGTAGAACTCATGCTATCCAGATTTTAATTCGTTAGAGTGATCTTGTCAATCAAAACACTACACTTTATAGAATTACACTGCAATTTATACAACAAGTAGAATTCATGCAAAAACCTATTTATTCCCATGTACTTCCCTCATAGACCTTTTTGAGTATACAAGAAGATCATCCGCGAAGCATAAATTGGTTAACTCAAGAGACTTACGGCATGGATGGAATGGTACTTGATTGTTTATTGCATAAGTTCTTAGCAAGTAGTGAAACACCTCCATCACTACTATGAATAAACTAGATTGTACCCCGGCCCGTTGGCCGGTTGCAATACGATAGTCGTTATTAACAAAGGTTGATGTTTAAATTTCAGTAATCTCCTCTTATATTCTTGCCATACTTATATGTCAACGTCGTGTGAATGAACAAATAATGGTAACATTTGCCTTCTATGTTGATTCTTGTTGAAATTCAAAAGGTAAGACTTATGCTAGAGTATATTAGCTCATATTAAACTCAATGTCACAATATTATAGGTACTCCAATGTAATCGGTTTATTCATCAACAATTTTCATTTTTAACTCCACTATCTTCATCATCAATAAACACTTCGACCTTTTGTATTTTCTGCGAAGCAAATTCAAACACGAAGAATGATTTATACATGATATGTAATTTTCATGACAACTTACATAATTTTAGTCACAAATGTTGTTGGAGGTTAATTTTTTCCATCATTGATTATCTTCGAAATTGTTAACCGAGTTATGGGATTTGTGATGTTGTAATCACTAAACTTGAAACTTCTACCTCAGCTCATTTTTTTTTAATACTACTTTCCTTCATTTAATGAAACATTAGTGAGAGGAGGTATCATTCTTCAATTATTTTTAGTAGCTTTTCATAATTAACTCTAAAAATTTGGATTCTTGATGACCAAAAGACAACAAAATCATATTTTGTAGTATCCAAAACTCAAGTTGGAACTTAAATATGAAATGCGTTAGTAATTGCTTGGTAGTATCTATCATTCAAGTTGGGTCTTAAATATAAAAATGTTAATAATTGAAATTCATTATTTAGAAGAACATATAAGATTTAGTGAGGATGATTCTTAAATTGACTTAATTATCATCTAACAACTATAGAGTTTGATGTTGCTAGTCAATTATCACAAAACAACTCATCCAAATCTTCTTTCATTTTCTTTGACAGGTTCTATATTCTGCATAGCACCACAAAAGATTCTTAAATTTGTCGATTTAGCATTGGATAAAATAACAATTAGCCTAAAAAAACTAATTAGGATTTGTATCTTGATCAATCATTAGATTCAAACAGATATTTGGTTACTTTTGCATAAATGACCATATTTGTGAATTATTAAATTCAGTGGCATAACCAGGATTTTGTAAAGTATGACTCCATTTAGAAAAAAATACATATGATAAAATAATTTTGTTAGCTTTTTAAATCATTCATGATATAGTTTTGTAATTAGAAAGACTTGGTAAATTAAATATATATCAAAACTATCAAGAATATCACTCTATATGTATCAAACCATTAGTCATGATTTATTTAGACATTTGATTTTGAACGGAGTTCTTTGTCAAAACCATTTAGTATTAATAACTCGTATTGTTGGAAAAATTGAATAATGAAACTTATATTATTTAGTATTTACTAACACTTCCCTACTAACCAAAACCAACTTATACGTGTTTAAAGTTTTCACAAATTCGAATATTATGTGCTTAACAAATGGGTCGCCAAGATTCAAACACATGATGTGTCGGTCAACCATTCTCAATTAGAAGTGCCCTAAATTTTATTCTCAATTAACTATTATACTAATTTACTCATTTTCGTCCTTTGGAGCCACCCGTTACACTTTCACTATTTCTGATTGAAATAAAATCATTTTTACATATTAGCTATAATTTGATAGAAATTTGTTGTAGATATTAAATAAGTACGTGGTCTTTTTCATACCCGATTAATTATTATATCTAATCTACCATATTATCTCTTGAGTCAGGGTAGGTCCCGGGTTCCTCCCTCTAACTCTCTCCATCCGCCCCTGGTTAAATCGAAACATATGAAACTTTTTTCATATGATATGATTGCATGCATGTTGAATGTTGATGGACTAATCTTTATATTTATTTGTAACTCTAAATTCTAAAACTCTAGTCGACTACGGGAGAAAAATAAATGAAAAGGTGCAAGTGATATAGAATAGTAGCTCATGTAGTTAAAAAAAAAAAAATAGTAGCTCATGCACCGAAAAGTGGGATTAAAAAGTGTAAAATGGCCTTCCATGCTTTGCGGGGAGAGCAGGAAAAACAAAATTAAGGAAGAACCTACTTATACATGTGGGAGGATATAGTGACAATGGATCGCTTTGATTTTTTTTTTTTTTCACGGCGAGGTATCCATAAAGGCCCCCAATCAGGGTTATACTAATCATAGGAGTCTAACAACTTTAAGAATGAATCAGAGAATTTCATTGCTATTAAGACAGTGAAAAGAAAGTTCCAAATTACCGAATTGAGTACTTTCATGAGATCAATATGAACTGTGCAACTTAAAATCCCAAGTATATGATTAGACGAAGGAGGAAACCAAAAAAATGTGCAGTTGGCAACATAGTTAGTAAAATACGATACGGAAAAGTTACGTATAAAATATGTATGGGTATTATACTTGTTTCTTAGTTAATATTACTTTTAACAGTACGTTAATAGTTATAAATATATAAAATTATTTATTTTTATAAATAAATAAATATGTAAAAAATGGTAAAGTTAATAATTTATTTCATTAAATACGGATATTAAATGTGTTATACGGGTTTTATGTGTGTTTAGTACTGGAGCCGTCAAATGAACGAAAAATCATGAAACGACTTGACAATAATATGGATACGGAAGTTTTAAACGAATAAAGTACGTACGGATACATATATGTGTATTAAACGGAGTATTTACTAACTATGATTGGCAAACCGAATGAAAAAAAATAACGACATATGACCTCCAACCAAAAAACTTTGCTGCAAGTCAACCAGTGAGTATGTGACTCCATTTCTCTTACCGGGTCCGGATAAGTTCAGTTCAACCCGAGGGTGGACAACCTTTCTTAACAAAGGCCATAATTTTGAATATCATAGAGAAAGAGTAGAGAAAGAGTGTTAATTTTGAATATCATCGAGAAAGAGTGTTGTTGCGACACACACAATCGATGCCCATTGTCCAACGAGACAGAAGGAAAACCCCAAACTATACATCAAAATAACTAAATTGGTCTGAAATTTGACCAAAATAAATGTTGAATTTTTTTAAAAAAGCCACATAATCTCATTTTTCGATTAAGTTAAAAATAAATATGAAAAGAAAAGAAAAATAATAATAAAAGAGATAAATGGTAATAGGTGGAAAAAATTAAATTTTTAAGTGTTCTGTGCTGGTTGGGCGATGATGTGGCACGTTGACGGTTAGTCAACACGTTTGACCATCCAAGTTAACGGTCAAACATAGAGTTCGGCCAATTTAGTTATTTTGATGTATAGTTTGCGCCAGGATGTTATAGATCAAAAAGATTGGTCATGATGTTTATTTTGGTCAAAGTTCATACCATACAAATATATTAACCTTTTGTTTATTGAAAATTTCCTCTTTCAGGAAACTATTGTCGCCTGGTGCTAGTTTAGCACTTTAGCTAGTGCATTTTTTTTTTCTCCAAGTAATGACATGAGAAAAAATAGTTAGAAGTCTCTACCCAAAATCTCACCCAAAGCAACACTTTAGTGAAGCCACCCTACAAAATCAAAGGACGCTACCTCTAAAGAGGACAACAACAGAGCTTTAGGTGCCACTCTATGGGCAGCTCAGTTGACAGTCCGCAGACCCACACTAAAATCTATACAAAGAGAGCATGAAACTAGGAGCCGATAACACTCTTGAAGCAGTGAGTCGTCTATCGAATCTTCTACTGCTCTACAGTCCAGTTGCCGAATCACCACTTCAGGATCACCTGACAGCAAGGTGCTCTGCTAGATAGGGATCGAAAACTCCTTGGTGCTGGGATCCCAGGCAAGTAGAAATTGCCTGTCTGTCCCATGTACGACGAGGCCAGACGAGCAACCGGAACGACAAACAGCAGCATTATGTTTGGCATCTGAGAAAATATTTTCCCATTTCCCCTTTCTTTCCTTCTTTAATTTCTAGTCGTCGTTTCTGGGTGAAAACACAGTCGTCGAGCGATAAACTTCCACAAGACATGGCTCCCCGAATCTGCTCGCAACATCGGAAGCAAGATGAATAAGCACTGAACAGTGAACACGATCCTTTCGCTCTCCCTCTCTATATCCATCTCATTTTTGGGAGTACTGAGAGCTAGACGAAAGGGTTTGAACCCCCGCTCGCAATGGCGATTCGCAGAGAGAAACCCCAGTCGTTTCGCGGATCTCCCGTCCTCGTAGCCATTGTCGTCGGAATTCTTCTCGGTTGCGTTTTCGCTTTCTTGTATCCTCGCGGATTCTTCAGCTCCGATCCGGCCAATGCGACAACTCGTCGAATTGCCAAATCAGATCTCCAGGTTCGCAAATCCTCTGCCCTAATCCAGCTCCATTTCAAGTCTCCCCTTCACTGCGACTCTGTTTTCCCCTCGGTGGCGCTCTGAAATTCGAGGGCTTTCTGCTCTAATTAGGCTCTTCTGCGGTGGAATTGCCTTTTGCTTCTTCTTTTACATTTGAGTCCATCGACCTGGAATTTGTCTGGTGAATGAGTTTATGCAGGACAATCAGTTTCTTTCAAATTTTAGTAACGAAGAGGACAGGTTTCTAAAGAATTAACGGAATCTTTGTTCTTTGATTTCCTTTTCCATTGTTTCGTGCTGTGCTGATAACTTACTTAGGATAGCCAAGTTGGGGGGGAAAACTGAGAATATTTCTATTTTCAGGCTGCCAGTTCCTGCGAATCACCCGAAAGAGTTAGAATGTTGAAATCAGACATAGTATCCCTAACAGAGAGCAATGCACTGTTGAAGAAACAAGCCAGGGAGCTCAACGAGAAGCTGCAGATGGCTGAACAAGAAAAAGATCATGCACAGAAGCAAGTTCTGCTTCTAGGCAAACAGCAGAAAGCCGGGCCTTTTGGCACCGTCAAGAGCTTAAGAACTAATCTCGCAGTGCTCCCAGACGAATCAGTCAATCCTCGGCTGTCAAAACTCTTGAAAGAAATCGCTGTCCAGAATGAGGTCATCGTTGCTCTAGCAAATTCAAATGTGAAAGAAATGTTAGAGGTTTGGTTCACCAACATCAAAAGGGTTGGCATACCGAACTACCTTGTTGTGGCACTCGATGATCACATCGTCGATTTCTGCAAATCGAACGGTGTTCCAGTCTATAAAAGGGATCCAGATGAAGGTGTTGACTCGATAGCAATGACTGGTGGAAACCATGCAGTCTCCGGGTTGAAATTCCGCGTATTAAGGGAGTTTCTCCAGCTGGGGTACAGCGTCCTGCTCTCTGATATTGACATTGTGTTTCTCCAGAATCCATTTCATCACCTGTACCGAGACTCCGACGTGGAGTCCATGACTGATGGCCATGACAACAGGACAGCGTACGGTTTCAATGATGTGTTTGATGAGCCTGCAATGGGGTGGGCTCGGTATGCTCATACGATGAGGATATGGGTTTACAACTCTGGGTTTTTTTACATGAGACCTACTTTACCAGCAATCGAGCTGTTGGATCGAGTTGCTGGGAGGTTATCTCGTGAGCCAAACTCGTGGGACCAAGCAGTTTTTAACGAGGAGCTCCACTTCCCGTCCCACCCAGGTTATGACGGGCTTCATGCTGCGAGGAGAACTATGGATTATTATCTGTTTATGAATAGTAAGGTGCTTTTCAAGACTGTGCGGAAAGATGCTAAGTTGAAACAGCTGAAGCCGGTAATTGTTCACCTGAATTACCATCCAGATAAGTTTCCTAGGATGAAAGCTGTTGTAGAATACTACGTTAATGGTAAGCAAGACGCTTTGGAACCCTTCCCCGATGGTTCTGACTGGTAGGCAGAATGTTAGAAAGCAACAGAGAAGTTTCTTCCACAATAGCTTTCACCTTGTACTAATTCCACAAAATAGGGTGTAGATTAAGTTTGATCCTTTCTTATGCTTTTCAATGATGAATGCACCACTCTTTCAAATGATCAGCTTTGTGCGGTTTTACATAAGGTGTCTATTCTCTTTCTTTAATGTCCCCAAACACTCGGTTTTATGGCGCCAATTAAAGAAGAACCCGCCAAATTCGTGTGACTGGCATTAACTGCACAGCAAAGTTGGATTGGGTTTTGCCTATTCTATGTCTTGTAGTAGGGATGACAATGGGTAGGGTCGGGTGCGGGTTTACACTATACAAACTTCTAACCCGTCGGGTAGAGCCTTCTAAAATACCCGATCAAATAACCATCGGGTATGAAAATTATATAATCATACCCTACCCACCGGGTAACCACGGGCATTCGGGTAACCATGGGTACGAATCCTAAACTATGAACTTATACACATATATGCACGTACATACGGTTGAGTGTTGTCCATTAAAAATTTTCAATACTTGTAACTGTTCTAGTTTCAACAATCCACACAAATAAAAATAGCAAACACATAATAATTGTTCTTGCTTCTACAATCCACACAAACATAATAATCGTCTACATCTTCATCATCAATAATGGTAGCTAAACTCAATTTCTCAATCTAATCTAAATTTCCCAATGGAAATTGACCCTTTGGTTAGCGGGCGGGTATCACGGGGCGGGTATTATCGATTACCATACCCGTACCCTACCCTTTATTTTGAAACCGGGTATTACCCTTACCCGCCCCTTAACCCGTCAAAGCGGGTAATTACCCTCGTTGACCGGTTACGGTCGGGTAGGGTACCCATGATTACGGGTTGGATTGACATCCCTATCTTGTAGACGTAGTGATGATTTCCGGGAAAAAAATCCCAGAATACTCAAGTTATTAAAAAAAATTCCCTAAATACAGTACTTATAAAATTAATTCCCAAAGTACAGCAGTTTCAACATCACTGTCTTAGACAAAGACAGTGATAATAATCACCGCTTTTGTTTAAAAAAGTGAAGCAGCGGGGAACGCATCACCGCTTTTGACATCAACAGGGATGGCATCACCGCTTCTCTCAAAAACAGTGATTGCCTCACCGCTGTTGTGCAAAACGGTGATATTTACCACGTTTTAGAGCCCTGGTAGGTGGGAAATTAGGTAACAGCTACCTAGCTATCACCGCTGTTGACTAAAGCGATGATCATGATGCTATCACAGCTGTTGACTAAGGCGATGATGTGTTCACCGCTGTTGTCTGAAGCGGTGATTAGCTTTCATTTTTTCCTATAAAAACCAACGTCCACTTCCCTCCTGCTGCCTTACAGCAAATTAGTACAAAAATTATCGTTTTTTTAGTCGTTTTCTCAGCTGGTTCCTCGGTAGTTTACTGCTCAAGAAACTCGTCGGGATTCGGTATGTTAAAATTATGTATTGTTTACATTTTGATGTGTAAGTAATTATATGTCTGTATTTAGTGAATTGCGGTTATTGGAAAATATGTTATGATATATTTAGATTAATTATGATATGATAGATGTTAGTTAGTTAGTACTGAATTTATATTAATTTGTTTAGTTTTCTCATGATAGATCGGGATTGAGTATGTTATAAGTATGTATTTTTTACATGTTGATGTGTTAGTAATTATATGTCTGTATTTAGTGAATTGCGGTTATTGGAAAATATGTTATGATATATTTAGATTAATTATGATATGATAGATGTTAGTTAGTTAGTTATGAATTTAGATTAATTTGTTTAGTTTTCTCATAATAGATCAATTAGTTGCATTTTATTATGGGTTTGGATGATATTGTTTTTGTATCACAATGTACTAATTATATACTATATTTAATTATTATAAATTGCAGACATGGGTAAATTTAAGAAGTTTAGGCTTCTTATTTGGTGGAATGGTCGGGTGACAAACTCGAACATTGGGATCGACTATGAAAATGGCGAATCCAGTATGCTTAAAATTGAATCGAGATTCTCGTGGCAAGAACTCCATGACAGGTGTGCAGAAAGGACTTGTACGGGCGGGCAAATGAGAGTTCGTCAAATTACTTACCGGTATCCCAACATGAGTGCTGACGGAGTCATGTACGAAAAAGTTGACATAAATGATGATGACGACGCGAACATGATGATACAGTTCATATCTGAGAACGGGGTGCGGCTTGCAGAGGTGTATGTCGAGACCGAGCCTGTCGGTGAAACTCATTCTCACCAGTATTCTTATGATGATGGTTTTGCAGGAGGGTATGGCTGGGGTGGTAGTTCAAGTAACTACGGAGGAGGTACTTCTGCAGGAGGGTATGGTTGGGGAGGTACTTCAAGCAACTACGGAGGAGGTAGTTCTGAAGGAGATGTTGGGTGGGAAGAATACCCGCAACATGGTGAGACTGCCGTCAATATCGTTCAGCTCGATGGTGATCAATGGCCTGCTTGGGGTCCAAAGTGGGCTGACATTGAAAACACCCTTCGATCTGGGCGTACTTCGCATGACCAAGAAGACGATGCTGGTTATGCTGGTAACGATGACCATCCTGAGCCGAGCTATCCATTCGCCTCCAGTGACGATGAAAGTGAGGAAGATTTGAGATCAGTCAGTGAGGAGGAAGATACGGACGATATCGACGATATCGATGACAGAGAGGTGGCGTTCCATCAGGCACCAACGCCTTACTACACAGAGGTTCCTGATCAATTTTATATGGTCAGAACGATGCCCCTGACTTTCGGCCCATGCCTGTGTATAATCCGACTGCTAATTTGGAAGTGGGTATGGCGTTCACTTCGAAAGCCGATGTGCAAGATGCTTTTAGCGAAGAAGTCATGCGGCGTAACTTCGAATGGAAGGTAAAATATTCTGACAAGGGACAATTGCATGTCATTTGTAAGAATGCTGAAGAGGGTTGTATGTGGCAACTTCGTGCTGCATATATGAAGAGAAAGGGTGTCTGGGTCATGCGGACAGTAGAGAACAACCACATCTGCTCCTCAACCATACTTTCACAGGATCACCGGCAACTGAAAGCAAAAAAAGTGGCAAGAACCATTAAGCACCTAATCGAGGCACAACCAGATATCAAGATAAAAGCTGTCATGGCGGAGGTGAAGGATCGACACTCCTACACCATAAGGTATAAGAAGGCGTGGCATGGGAAGCAGAAGGCCATGGCTGAGGTCTACGGTGATTGGGAAGACTCGTATGCTTTACTCCCCAGACTAATGTCCGCAATGGAGGAGTCCAACCCTGGGACGGTTTTCGTGCCGTGGTACAACAACGTAGAAACTGAAGATCAAGTTCGAGTATAGAACGAGTTGATGTTTCATCGTCTGTTCTGGATATTCAAGCCATGCATTGACGGATTTCCCTTTTGCATGCCAGTGATTCAGGTATATTACGGACTCAAAATATTGTACTATTTCATTACTTTACTAATTTCAATTTTTACTAACTCATTATTCATTTTAACAGGTTGATGGAACTTTCCTTACTGGGAAGTATAAAGGAACTCTTCTTATTGCCACTAGGGTTGATGGAAATTTAAGTATTTTTCCCTTAGCATTTGCATTAGTTGAAGGGGAGAACAACCTAAGTTGGGCATGGTTCTTTGACCAGCTACACGCCCACGTCACACAAAGAATGGGTATTACAATTATATCGGATCGACATGCCGGGATTAAACACGCCGTCTGTGGTTTCCCCGACGAATGGGGATGGACATGGCGCTGGTGTATTCGTCACTTCCTAGCCAATTTCCAACACAAATTTGGCAAGAAGAAAGACATAAGAGATCAATTGTGGAGTGCAGGTAGTAATGTAATTTAGTGCTTGTTCATGGTTTATTGTTCAAATGAAATTTCTTATGGCTTAATTATTAATTCTCCGGTCTTGTAGCGGTTGCACATCAACCAAAAAAGTACGAGCAGAAGATGAAGACGATCCGTCAAATACACCGGGCGGGAGCAGTATGGGCAGAAGGTCAAGATCTGCACATGTGGACATTTCACATGGACAACGGGGCTAGATTCGGAATTGCAACTACCAACCATGGCGAGAGCATAAATGGAGTCTACAAGGGCATTAGGGCAATGTCTGTATCTGTCCTAGTGGAGATGACATACTGGAAGGTAAACGAGTGGTTTGTGAAGAGACGGGATGCTGCTATAGGGAGGGAGCGTGCTGGTCATTCAATAGCTAAGCATATATTTGATGGCATGCAGAAGATAGAAGAGAAATCAAGTAAGCACAGAGTTGTTCTGTTCAACCGCAATGAAGGTATTCTTGCTGTGCAAACAGGTATTTGGGGTGGAGGAAGACGTGGGCATAATCGTCAATCCGTTACTCTACACGTAGAAACGCGCACCGGAGAGTGTACATGCCAAAAGTATCAAAACAGAAGAGTACCTTGTTCACATTCAATGGCAGTAGCTAAGTCGATAACCCTCAGCGCAGGGACGGAGCTAGCGTGTAAGTAGGGGGGGCCATGGCCCCCCCTAAAATATAAAAATATGACTTTGCACCAACAATACATAACACAAGATGTGGTCTAGCGGTGTGTAACATATAATTTTAATGGAGAGGTCATAGGTTCGATGGTTGCTATCTGCACCATTTAATTTTGTAAAATTTTGATTCCTAACCTCAAATTTTGCATGTTTTACGATTTGGTACCTAATTTTTCATTTTGGTACATTTTCGCCCATTGTCTTACAATTTGGTACCTAAAATTTGCATGAATCGTTTAAATTCATGAAATTTTGCTTCTAAATCCCAAGTTATGCATGTGTGATCTGGTACCAAATGTTTTCATTTTAGTACACCTTTTGTCCCAAATTTCGCATACCTTACGATTTGGTACCTAAGTTTTCCAGTTTAGTAGTATTTTTGACTTTTTGCCCATTTAATTTTGTAAAATTTTGATTCCTAACCTCAAATTTTGCATGTTTTACGATTTGGTACCTAATTTTTTATTTTGGTACATTTTCCGCCCATTGTCTTACAATTTGGTACCTAAAATTTGCATGAATCGTTTAAATTCATGAAATTTTGCTTCTAAATCCCAAGTTATGCATGTGTGATTTGGTACCAAATGTTTTCATTTTAGTACACCTTTTGTCCCAAATTTCGCATACCTTACGATTTGGTACCTAAGTTTTCCAGTTTAGTAGTATTTTTGACTTTTTGCCCATTGTCTTACTTTGAATCGGACTTTCTCATCCCCAAACTTTCTATACAAAGCTCTTCTACTAGTTAAAAGTAGACTTCTATGTGTCAAAATTTTGGTAATTTGTGTTGAACGATAAATAACATAATAAACTTTACTTCAAAATTTTTAACGGCCCCCCCTTACCTATATTCCTGGCTCCGTCCCTGCCTCAGCGCTTACAGTTTGGTTAGTCCTTACTACACGGAACAGGTGATCAGGAACTCCTACTCGTCAAGTTTCAGCCCCCTGCCGGATGAAGCTTATTGGCCTGTAGACAATGGGAAGTTGATTATCCCACCGTTGCACTTAAAGCGCACCAGAGGTCGTCCTAGGACCGAAAGGATTCACAATGAAATGGACCAATCACAACGTGCCCGACGGGGTCCAAAGTGTTGCTCAAAGTGCAGACAACCGGGTCATGACAAGAGGCAAGCCCAGGTCCACCTCTAGAGCAAGATTCGGAGCCAATTCGGAACTAACCTTGATGCTGTTGTTGTTCACTTACTTGTTTTAATCTTGTTGAGCAATTTTCGTTGTTGTGATGTTTAAGTTGGACTTCTTGTTTTAATCTTGTTGAGTAATTTTCGTTCTTGTGATGTTTAATTTGGACTTCTTGTTTTAATCTTGTTGAGTGATTGTAATAAAGGGCGTTTGTTGTTCATTTTGGTACAACATGGGGGGTAAAACTAAACAAACCCAAACCAAATTTAGACGACATAGATAGTTCATGGAAAACAACACAATCCGAAACCAAATTTAGAAACATAGGTAGTTCATGGAAAACAACACAAACCCAAACCAAATTTAGACGACATGGATAGTTCATGGAAAACAACACAAGACCAAACTAAATTAGAACGACATAGATAGTTCACTGGTTGTCTTCATTTCCCTCCACTTCCCCTTCTCTTCCTCTTCCTCTTCCTCCACGACCTCCTCGGCCCCTTCTTCCGCCCTCTCTACCTCCTCCTTCTTCATGAGCCCGCTGGACAACTGCGCGCGGATTCCTCTTAACCCGACCACCCACCGGAGTGTAGACAGGTGGTGGGGGTGGAGGTTGCTGAGATGGACCAGAAGCGTGGTAGAAAGTCGATGATGTATGTTGTTGTTGCGGGGTTTGATACTGAGTATTTTGTTGCTGATGGTGGAAGTGAGGGGTGCCTTGGGTGAACATGTCATGTTCCTGAGTCGGGGCATAGCTTGACGACCCTCCGGTGCCCTCAGTACTAGTAGCCCACTCACAATGTGGCCATGGTTCAGGAAGTTGAGTTTGTTGAGACGGACGAAGCTCTTCAATGTTTTCTCTCACCCTTCTTCTGCTCCTCCGTGGGGGCTCTTGTGGGGGCACGATCCTCTCATTAGCACGGAATGAAGGTTGGGCCGGAGCAGGCATTGGAGGGTATAATATGACATCCCTCCTTTGCTCTCTGGTACAAGAGAGCAGGTTGTTGAAAAGCCTGCGCAAAAAAGATGTCTTCCGCTCATCCATGATGGGTGCACTCTCGACAGTGTGCTTCGCATGTTCCAAACCGTCAACCTAATAAATTGTTGTACAAAATTAACTAACATTAAATCTAATAATGATCGTCATTTCACCCTCGGGAAAGTGGAAGGTATGCAGCTCAGGGCGCCATCGCTCTGCCATTGCCGTCAGCAGATCGTTGTCAATATCAAGCCTCATAAAGTGCCTCAGATTGTGCAATCATGTCCTCTCTAGATAGGGCTGCAGTCGAGGATGCCAACGGGGCAATCGACATGTCCCTCGATGACTGATGGGAATAAGTGATTCCTACAAAACAAAAAACACAATATTGTCAGTCAATAGAAAGCAAAATAAAAACTTAGAAAGCAAAATAAAAACTTTAAAACTATTGAAATAATTTTAGTGTGTCTACCGGATTATTGTTCCAAATTGAACGAGAGCGATGTTGATCTTGCCCGGTTAAATACCTTCGATCCCTTGGGCCAGGATCGATATACAATCTAGGGTCGTATATCTCAGCACCCATCTATAAAAAAATATGAAATCAAATCAATTTAAATTTTAGCACCCATGTAAAAAAAATCACAAAAGAATTAAATAAATTTACGTACTCTCAAAGCCTCTTCGTCCATTTTTTGCCGAAAAGCTAGCGAGAGTATCGACAAAACAAAAACTCTAGTAATTCTTTCTTATGCGGAAGATCGGACTTAGCCGCAACCACAGAGCATACTTAGAACGAAACTAGAGTGAAGTAATGGAGGGAGAAAGAAGTATAAAATGGTGGTGTGGTTTGGAATGAGGGGGGATGGGTATTTATAGTGTTTGGGCGCTGGAAAAGTCTTGGGCATTGATCACCGCGCCCAAGAAACACAGTGCAATCACTGCGTCCAACAAAGGCGGTGATGGCCCGGATAGGTGACGTGGCGGCGTGTGAGGCGTCGGATTGTGGAGAAAAACCACAATCCGCACCTCACTGCAACGAACGGCAGCGGTGATAGCGTGGGTGGGGGCGGATCGCTGACGTGGAAAGCGGGGCTATCACCGCTTTGGTCTTCAGCAGTGAAGTGCCCGCGCGCGTCCGCGTCAGCGATCCGCGCCACTTCACCGCTTTTGAATTCAACGGTGAATACTCTCACTGCGTCCCTTATCAACGGTCAATCCATCACTGTTGATGTTGAAAGCGGTGATAGCATCACTGCTTTTGTCAAAGGCGGTGATGTATCATCGTTTTGGACCAAAACGGCGATGCTAATCACTGTCTTAGACAAAGACAGTGATGTTGAAACTGGTGTACTTTGGGAATTAATTTTATAATTACTGTATTTAGGGAATTTTTTTTAATAATTAGAGTATTTTGGGATTTTTTCCTGATTTCCGTGGCAATTAGCAGGCTGCCCGTACTAATTTTCCAGTTCAAAACCGGTACAGATTTCTTTGGCTTGTTCTGTTCTGTCCTTCCCTTTATCCCAACTTACCCACCTTCTCTCTCTCTCTGCATTCTCCGTTTCAAAATATTCCACCTCCATTATTCTCCACCTCAAAACTGTGCTCAGAAAGACATTCCTGCTAACATTCGAAGTTGGGTCCTTGTTTTCGATCTGCGCTTTGTCAGATAAAACTAAAAAGTCATGCAGAGGAATACCCAGAGAGACAGCGTTCTAGTGAGCTACAATCCTCCTCCGAGGAGCCCCTGGAGGAACCCGAATTCGGACCTCGATTTCAACGACGTCTTCGGTGGGCCGCCGTGGCAGAATGTCCGGCACAGTTTCGGCGAGGAGCCGTTTGGGAACGACCCGGAAACCGCGGCGCTGCGGACGAGGTGTTCCGGGCTGTAGGAGAAGCCGGTTTTTGGAGAGCAAGAAGGAGCCAAGAACAGCCGAACAGGGGAGGAAGGATTCAAAACGGAGATTTCTTTGATGACATATTTGGCGGGAGCGAGTCGTTGAGTTCTTCTCCCAGGAGGCAGATCATTGGATCCGCTTGGAAGTTCCTCACTTCCTGCCCCGTTCAGTTATCTTATATTTCCTTCCTAGTTTACAGTTTAGAGAGTATAGAATGATGTCTTTGGATTGCCCTTCACAGTCTACCTTCGATGCTAACGAAACCAACGAGGGACCAAGGAAGTTGCTTCAAATGGCGATATGATCAACAACTACTCATTCTCTCCACTATCAAGATCCTCAAGCAAACCAGACTTGGTGGTAATCAAGGAGTCCAAAGACAATGTCCATCGCCAGGGTTCTCTCTCCCGTCAATTCTCCCTTAACAATGGTGCGACTTGTCGAACATGCCCAAACAACAAGGTGTAGATCGATACAAAGGTAGCTTAGGAGACAAAAACAAAGGAGGCAGTCACTGCCATGATCATTTTCACTTCTCAATCTACAAATGGGCCAGCCAAGGAGCTCCTCCCATGTCCATGCCTCTCAGATCAGAAAACGGTTCGAATGACAAGTTGTTATTCACTTCATCAACAAGTGAAGCTTCTGCTGAGCTCGAGACCGAGTAAACACAACTTAAACCAGAGTTGAAACCCTTACGGTCTATGCTCTTGGACAGTGATTCTGAACAAGGTAAGAAGCACTGATTTATTTATCTTTTTTGTCTCGTGGGATTCAAACCGTTCAGCCTTTTGTAGCGAAAAGATTCGCTCTTCATAATAATGTTCTCGTGGTGGTTGTTGTGGTTCAGGAATTCGGGAGGTAGGTAGTGAGGAGTTGTTGAGAGAGAGCAAAGTGAAGAGTAGTAGTAGCAAGAATGCATCTTCTGAAGCAGTTGATGTCAGCCAGGGGAAAGTGGAAGTGCAAAAGGGTGATAGTAGGTTGGAGGTAATACGTGGAAGGAGCAGTAAAGCAAAGGGGAAGAAGGTGAAGGATTTTGTGAAGATTTTTAACCAGGAGGTGAAGAAACCTGATGCGATGAAGGGTAAACCCCAGAAGAAGCCTGAGAAAAAAAAAAGAGAGGATAGATTCCAGGACAGTGGATAATGGTGGAAGCTTTACAACAACTAGGAGTAACGAAGAGGAACTCAACTTGGCTCCTGAAAACTACAGGGGAATTCATTTGGAGGAAGCATCATACAATGTCCAGGTGAGGGTGGTATTACAACTGGTTTTCAGGATTTTTGGTTGAGCACTTATTGATCTTAATTGTGCTTTCCAAATTTACCATGTTCTGATTCATCCACACTTATGTGACAGGTCAGAGAATTACCTGACCAGATGGAGGAATATGAACCCCTACCAACTACTGGCACTCTGGCAGTAGCTCTGAAGAACTCCAGGTAAAAGTTAAACCCTCTATTTACCGCAAGTGCATGAAGTTTCTTCGCCAGGACCAAATAAGTGATCTGAACAGTACATTTCTTCAGGTGAACGATGCCAAGATAAGAAAATGGTGCCAGGGGAAGGAAGGAAACATACGATCACTGCTCTCAACTCTGCAATGTGTAAGTCTTTTCGGACAAATCTTTCTCCCCTCTATTCAAAACTGGAATCGGGAATCAGTCTGAAACGCCTATGAGGCGGGGTTTGGAGACCATGATTGCTCGAATGTGTGTGTTCTGCGAATTCAGGCATTATAAGTGGATGGCGTAAATCAGTCGATTGCTAAAATGCAGGTTCTTTGGCCAGGAAGTGGGTGGAAGCCGGTGCCTTTGATGGACAATATAGAGGGGAATGCAGTGAAACGATCATACCAGAGAGCCTTACTCTGTCTCCACCCAGATAAGCTTCAACAGAAAGGTGCCACTCCAGAACAGAAGTACATTGCTGAGAAGGTTTTCGATGTTTTGCAGGTAAAATTTCTTCTCATTTGGTTCCCGTTTTTCTTCTTAAGTTGATGAAGATTTTGGGTTCAGCAGTTTCAGTAAAATTGTTGGCTTGATCATATTTGCAGGAAGCTGATACGGGATAGATTTGGATAGCTCCCTTTTCTTGGCGGGAGTAGACCAGTTTCTCCTTTCTTGGCGAGAATGACCAGGGTTTTCTTAATTCTGAAATTGCTTACTCATTATCCATTACGTTCTCGACTTAAATACACAAAACCCACTAAGTGGAGCTAATCCCACGTCTATCTACGCTAACCAACTAACCATAAGATGCTAAACCCACTAAACCCACTCCACCTATTATGCAAAACACTCCTAAATACTCTAACAAACACATGACTCTCTAACTACCTACCGGCTTGCTCAACACTACTAACTAATTCTAATGGAAACTCTAATATATCTATACGTATCATTCCTCCCCCCTTCGAAAGAACCTTGTCCTCAAGGTTCGAGTTAATTAGCGAACTAATTCAACCCATACTCAGGCTGCTGAACCTGTTTCTACCCTGCCTTGCTCGAGGTCTCAGCTTTCCTTTTGGAAGAGGATTCTCATCCCATGTCTTTACGGTCGTAGCTGCGTGGACTCGACTCTTCCACTGCAGATTTCTGTTGTTTGTGAACAACCGTGTTGAGTCATAGGACCACATCTGCTTCACTTCCTTGAAAACTTTCACTCCTAGCTCCTTTGCAGTTCGAAGCCATGTATGATACCCATGTATTATGCTTTTGTAAACAGCCAACAATGACAATAGACTGAGCTTCACAATGGTCGAATCATGGTCTTTGCAGGGTTGAATAATTTCTTTCAAATAACTTATATTAGCCTCCGGATCAGCCTGCAATTCAAACCCCAGCTCAATAAGTTTCAGCTTCTTACTTTTGAAGATTTGAGTCTCTGGTAGAACAACAGCTTGTGGAGCTTCATCTCCTTTCTCCAGTCCAACTCCATTAGCAAGCTTCTTGGACTCTGTCTTACTCTTCTTTGGTTGAGCCCTCCCATGAACCCTGCTCAACCTCCCCAAACCCATTTTTCTCTGATCATCGGTTGCGGCATCCTCGAGCTCCTCGCCGAAAGCCTTCTTCAATAGAGTTCCATAATAGAACTTTTTGTGCAAAAACTTGGCTGGAAGCGCTTCTACACACTCAACTTCTACCCTCTTGTCTTCCTCCCCAATATCCTTCTTCCTTTTCTTCTTCCTTTTCTTCCACCAATACAGAAAGTAGCCATCAACACCAAACATACATGCTTCCACCTTGTATTTCATTGTAAATCCCCAAAACTTTAATTGGCCCAAGGTTAGTCCCTGTTTGAGTAGCGGATGGCAGGTAACCCATAGAGATTGGGGTTTCCCCTCATGATGATCCTTTGCAGCAAGGCTTGATGAAAAAGGAGCGGTTATGACTGCTGATCCAAGTGGTGACTCCAGCTCAACGACAATCGATGACAGTTTTGCTGCGCTCCCAGGGGGTGCGATCGGTGAACTCAAAAAGCTCTCAATCTGCGGCGGCGGTGGACCAACGAAAACAGCAACGGCAGCAGTCTGCATCGGCAGCATCAGCGCGACGCCCAGGGGTGCAATGGAACTTGGTTGCGGAGCGATCTTCGCATCTTCCATGGCGGTGAGGGTATCGAGCGACGGCGGCGGTGCACTGGCAGTCGACGATGTTGTTCTTGTTTGCGACATGGACGACATCCAACGTGCACGTGGTGGGACACCGTCTTCTTCCTCGTCCTTTATAGACTCTGCCAGAGCTTCAGCTTGCGACGCTGATTGTGCAGTTGATACAGGTGGAACGGTGATCTCCGACTCTTCCATGGCGGCCAGGGTCTCGACTTGCAGCCTCGGTGGTGTTGTTGCTGGCCTGTGTTTGTCATACGTCGCAATGAGCATGTTGCAGGTAGCCATGACACGTTCTATCTGCTCGAGTGCCCGATTGATGAGTTCCTCCTCCCTTGATGGTCGCTTTGAGCTCATCGTGATCGGAATCCGGATCAACGGCTCTGATACCAAATGATACGGGATAGATTTGGATAGCTCCCTTTTCTTGGCGGGAGTAGACCAGTTTCTCCTTTCTTGGCGAGAATGGCCAGGGTTTTCTTAATTCTGAAATTGCTTACTCATTATCCATTACGTTCTCGACTTAAATACACAAAACCCACTAAGTGGAGCTAATCCCACGTCTATCTACGCTAACCAACTAACAATAAGATGCTAAACCCACTAAACCCACTCCACCTATTATGCAAAACACTCCTAAATACTCTAACAAACACATGACTCTCTAACTACCTACCGGCTTGCTCAACACTACTAACTAATTCAAATAATGGAAACTCTAATATATCTATACGTATCAGAAGCGTGGACACATTTCAGTTCACTTGGTTCTGTTGTGTGACCGACTGATCGAACCGGGGTATTAATCCATCCGGCAGTGTCTTTTCTGTGTAATGGTGTAGTTGTTTCCGGCATAGTGGCATAACATTTTTCATTGGTGCATACCTCAACTGTATAGCTATTGAAGTTACATTGAAACTTCAAAAGTGGAACATAAGGTTTTTCGATGGCTTTGAAAATTGGCAATATCAACCACAAGTGGCCAATGTTGTACGTGTACCCATACACTCGAAATCTAATCACTTCACATTGCTTAAACGTTCACCTCATTGAAATTTCATGGTATTATTCCCTTAATTTCAATGATTGGCCGATCGTAAAATTGTATCGAATTTTGTAGTGGAAAAATCAATAATATGGTATTTTATGCTAAAACTTTGATTCAATCATTTCAAAATTCAAACTGCTAAAAAACGCCTATCAATTTAGTTTAAGATATGAGATTTTTTCCGATTGGACTAGTACAATTTCATAAATACGGCTTAATTTTGAACTTCTTTATCTTCATACACTTGGTTTACCTTGTTCTTTTTTTTATTTTGAACACAACTTGTTTACAATACATTGTTGAGCTAAAGATTTCAAGAGCTCTATTGCTTTTGGGAAAGAATAGGGTTGCAGTGCCTGTATGGATGCAAATGAGTTGGGACAAGAATATTTCAGAGGAAAGTGAGATTGGGGCAGAGCATGGCCATGGCTTAAGAATAGAATAAGATGGGAGGTCGGGTCCCCATCCCATGCTTTGGTCCGAGTACTACTAACTGTCCCCATTCCCCATTTGCGATTTCTTCTTCTTCTGATGTTCCCTCCCGTCGGTCTTCGAAGACTCTGCCTTCTTTCCCTCCTTTTGCTTTTACTCCATTTGTGAAATTTCCGAGTAAAAAGATGTTGACAGTGGAGAGAGAGAGAGAGAGAGAGAGAGAGAGAGAGAGAGAGAGAGAGAGAGAGAGAGAGAGAGAGAGAGAGAGAGAGAGAGCAGAGTACCCCCTGTTTCAGAAAGACAGTGAGGGTAAAATAAATGCACAGTAAACTGACAAAGAAACAAGGAATTGAATTTATAATTTTCTATTTTGAATATATATTCTTTATTATTAGGGTGCTACTTGCTAGCTTGAGCTTCACATTCCCCCTTCGACTTTGAGGTTTTCACTTCCATTATTTCTTTCTTTTGTAGAGAGAGAGAGAGAGAGAGAGGGACAGAGAAGGGGAGGTGAGATGAGAGCTATAATGGCAATTTTGGATTCAGCATAGTGGGGAGGGAATTGCTTCTTTTGTTTTATTCAGGTGAGGAAGGAGGATGATGGTAATGCTGTGAGACCAAGCAGTTGGTGGGTTCTCTCTACTATCCACCATGGCCATGGGAGACAATGGCTGCAGCTGCCGCTGCTCTTCTTCTTCCTGCTCCTGCTCCCTCTTCTATTAACCCTGTAGTGAGTTCAGTTCTGATCTTTCTTCCGCTTTGTCTTGTTGCAGTGATTTCAATTCTGCTCGCTTTTACTCTCTGTTTTATGTGCATTGCTGTTCTTTCCACCTCTGTTTGTTTCCTGGGAAATTTTTGGTGGGTGAGTAGGAAACTGATGGGAATTCTATGGTGGGTTTTTCTTGCAATTCTGGGAATTCAATCACCCAGCAGAATGGATCTGTTTTTCCTCTTTTGGGGGTGAGATTTTGTTTGTTTCCATTTGCTGCATTGTTTGATTTCTGGCCAAGGAAAGCCTCAAGCTTTTAGATCTGGGTTTTCCTTTTTCACTCCATTTGAATTGAAGATCTAAATCTGCCTTCTTGCTGTCCTGTCTTTTGCTCCTTTTGACCTCCAAATACAAGCTGGATTCACATACGGCTATGAGAGGCAACTTACATGAACTTGTTAACAATAAATTGTTTCATTTTAGTTTTCTTCCCAACATATTGGCATTCTAATTACGTCAACTCCTAGAGGGTAGGAAGAAGAATCGACATTTGTTTTATTTGGAGTGCCTTAGTTGACTCTATCTGTAACCTTCTCCTTCACTTCCAGGGACATGTCAACTGTCCTTTGATTAGAATATATAGCCTTTCCCTTCACACCATGAACTGTCCGGCGCTGGCCAGCTACTTTTTAAATCCCTAACGTGCTGACAAATGATCAATTTGTGGAATTGATAGGCGAGTCCTAGAATTCAAGTCATCTTTGCTTCAAAGGCTAATTGTATGTTCTTGCTGTATGTTTATGCAGATTGTAATCCAGCTATTAGTTTCGATGTTCGAATTATCTTTAAAGAAGATGAAACTCGGGTCAAAGAAAGGAGTGTGGAAAGCAATGATGCCCATCCGGCTGAGAAGTAAATCAGCCACACGTTTCTGCTTGTTTCCTAAGCCTAGAACAACGCCTAGCTATGGTCAAGGCAAATCACCGGTCTATCTCAATGTATACGACTTGACGCCGATGAATGGTTACGTCTATTGGGCTGGTCTTGGCATCTTCCATTCCGGTGTTGAAGGTAAGGCCAAGCCTAAGGAGCCACTTATAGACTTGCGTGTCTTGATCCTTGTTGGCGTGGAGTGTTTATGCCCCCGAAATGTATGTCTGTTTCTGCAGTGCACGGGGTGGAGTATGCGTTCGGAGCTCATGACTACCCCACGAGTGGCGTGTTCGAGGTTGAGCCTAGGCAGTGTCCAGGGTTCAAGTTCAGGAGGTCGATATTGGTTGGTACCACGTCTTTAGACCCAATGCAGGTTCGAGAGTTCATGGAGCAGCACGCAGCGAGCTACCATGGGGATACCTATCACTTGATTGTCAAGAACTGCAATCATTTCTGCAAGGATGTTTGTTACAAGCTCACGGGCAGGCCTATCCCCAAATGGGTCAACCGGCTGGCACAAATAGGTAAGAAGAGTTGAAAATAAAAATAAAAACACCCTGATGTTTCCATCTTCAGTAAACAACAATCAGTGGTGGAATGTTGTGTTGATTTGCTTCTCTTTGGGGCTCCTCCATTTCCAGGTTCGGTCTGCAACTGCGTGCTTCCCGAGTCGCTGAAGATAAACGCTGTGACCCATGACCCGAATGGTGAGCTACCATATGATAGCGAGAAGAGAAGGCTGAGAAGTGCATTCAGTTGCTTGTCTTCCATCTCTATGCGGCAGAGGCAGCTGTCGACTTCATCGTTGATTCTCCAGTCACCGTTGAGAGGCTGCCTGCCATGGGAGTTCAAGAGGTCCGTCAGCACTTCACTGAAGGAGAGATGATATGAGAACGATCTTTAACCGATGGGATGATGATGAAATGGTGGGTTTCTTTCCTGTGGTACTGCTTGGTTGCTTAACCCCCCATTGAAGGTGGTAATGGTGGAGAATTAGGGCAGTATAAATTGATGTACTTTGGGTTGAGCCATCAGATTGATTTCATTGTCTCGAGCAAAGACATCAATTTTTGTTTGACTAGGAAGGTGATAGGGAACCCAGTAGTGGTCTACATTCTTCCAGAGTTGAAATTGTATTTGTCAAGGCTGGCTGGCTGGCTGTAATATATATGAATGATTCAGCTTGTACATAGAACTCGGTAGAGAATAACTCTGGCTGCCTGGAGGCCGGGTTTGACATTGGGAGCTTATTTCCTTCTCCAATGTTTCTTTCCCAATGATGGATGGCTCTTGATATTCTTATAATTATGTTGATTGAAGAGCATCGTGTGACGAAAACTGAGGTGGGGAGACAAGGTTCTGACGGCGAAACTCTGGACAGAGAGGAGACGTAGACCCTCCGACGGTGCTCTGATCAAAGCTTGCAAAACCAGTTCTGTGTGACAATTGCTTGATGTGAAACGAGATTAATGCTCGCCCGAAGCAATTGCTTGATGCGAAATGAGATAAATGCTCGTCTAAAAATCGTTATTTCATGCTGGTGAAAATTGGTCAATCTAGTCAATAACAACTGCTAGTTCAAGTATAAATTTCTAGTCATTTAATAGAATTGTACTATAAATTTCTAGATTCTAAACCATTCAATGATTTTAAATCTCATTCTTGAATTTTTTTTGAATGTATATTGTTTAGGGGTCAGACTAGTGTACTCCTGGAGTATACTATACTCGAGGTACTCTTAGCGAGATATCTCTATCTAAACTATGAATTAAATCGAGTTTGTGGTATGATACTATACCCTAAGCTCTAATGGATAAACCCCAGCCCCCAATTCTCTAAACTCAAACCAGAAGTTCAATTTAATAAAAAAAATACTAATTGACCGTTGAGATTGGTCGGAGCTCAAAAAAAGAGATATAACGGCCAAATCACTTGGAGTATACTATACTCCTTGAATATACCAGTCATTACCATTGTTTAGTAACTGATATTGTTAACTATAAATAAAAATAGAACTTTGTATTTTTTTAATTAAATGTCATATTTTCCTTAACCAAAAGAATCAGAGTACCTTGCAAAATCTTGAAAATTTAGTAATTCACTGATAAATATATTTAGTGGGATAAATATAAATTGAAACGATGAAGTAGGAGGAATAAATCTTAAAAATCAAAATGTAGAATCTTTCTAATTATTATAAGATATTTGATATCTCTAGATTTTATAAATTTGAAATTTGTGAAGCTAAAATCTACTATAAAAAAAATATAACTTCATGCGTGAATTCAATGAATCTTTTTTTTTTTTTTTTGACAATGGATGTGCTTATATTGCAATCTGGAAATCACGGTTACAAGAGGCGGATTACATCAATGGAACAAAAGCAAAATGGACACTCTAATAAAAAGGCAGAATAATCAAAGACAAAAGCAAAGCTAGAGAACCAGCCACAAGAAAGAGCAGGCAAGATTGAACTACACCAATATCAGAGAGCCATCACCAGGACCAGAGCCAAGGAAGTGAACCCAAGAACCTCACGCTTCCACAACCAACAGATCAGCAACAAAGCAGGGTTTCAACTCTCCCAAAACAGACAAGACCATGGCGCTTGAAAACACAACGCCATAAGCCGCCTCCTGGGGATCGTTCGAAGACGATCCATCACAGTGAATCACAAGATTGCAATTACATAGCGGTGGGCAGGGCTGAAACCGGGATGCTCATAGCTGAAAAAAGGTCGAGGATGCCGAAGGCAAGATGGACCGAGAAATGGAGAGACAAAGAACTCCAGCCTAGTCTCAACCGAAACCCAGAACAACTGCCAATGACAAACGGAAATGACACCGAAACCCACAACAGTCGAGAAGAGACGAGGCTGAGATGCTCACCAATAGTCGACGGCAGGGGAAAACGGCGAATGAGTTCTTCGAACAGAAGAAACCACCAACAAGGAGGAGCCACTCAAGCACGAGATCTTCAAAAGAGACTCTCCCAGCTGCAAAATCCGAAACCCAAGCAGAGCAAAGCAAGACCAGAGAGGAAAATCCTAGATCCGAGAAGAAGAGCAGCCGCTCTGAAATCTGAAACGCCACATCGGCAGAGAAACACTAAACTAGAAGATCCGAGTGAAAAACGTCAAAGACAAAGGCAAGAAACACAAGAACAAGAAGAGCAAAGGAAAGTACAAAAAAGAGAGACTGAGCTGCCGCCGGTCACCAAAAGGAGCCGGCGGCAGCCATGGGAAATGTGAAAAAGGAGCCTGCTCCTAGAGAGAGGGGAGAGCGAATTTTGAAAAGGAAAGTAAGAGAGAGAGAGTTGAATTCAATGAATCTATGGCTCAAATTCTTTTCTTCAAACCACACGAAACGCAAACTGCGAGGAAGTTAGGAGAATTCATAGAAAGCTTTGCACCCAAAACGCAAAACTGCAAGGGGAAACATGAAATCGCTACCGAAGCCCCGGATCCACTCGAAGAATCGAAAAATACGTGTAAAATTACAAAACGTTTCGGATGCTCAAATTGAAAGCAAACTGCGATACATTTTCTATATTTGAGAATATATCATGTCAATTTCATAACACTTCAACTATTTATGATTCAAACGACAAGCCATAAATGATTAAGAAATTGCAACTACCAAAAAATACAGAAAATGGATCTAACAAATAGATTAACTTTTTCCATTACTTGCATAGAGCTTCAAGGGGCCATTGAGAGTCTTTAGTATACTGCCTGGCAATGTGGATGATAGAGCCATAGAAGGTTGCTCTTCAAATTAGACTCCTCAGTAGCAATGCGAGTCGCTGACATTGACAGAGAGGAGCCATAAAACCAACATTCTAGTTTTGCACTTCAGTTTTGTAGCCTCCATCAAATGGACTGTTGTGTTCAGATTTCCCATACTCGTAGAGAAGGGAATGCATCTTTTGGTTCGCAGGGACTTTTATCGATACCCTTCTAGATGGCGTCAGTGGATCAGAACTTCAGCCAGATATAGCTGGTGAGTCGCGATTCGGAATGGGGAATTGTCATGCAACGGCGAGAAGAGAAGGATGCAGACTGCACCGACTTGTGCTCGACTATCTAGATGCGGCAGAAGCAGCTGTTGTAGTCATTGATTCTGCTGTGCCTGTGGAGAGGCTGCCCATGATGGGAGTTCAAGAAGTCCGCCAGCCTTCCATTACCAGAATTCACACCTCTTGGAAATGCTATTCTCAAAGAAGCTGCTCACATAGGATAACTGCATGATCTGGACCTCTGCGTTCAGGTTGGAGTCTTCACAAAATGTAACTTTAGTTGATATAGTTCGCCAGATGAAGACCTTTATTGGCTTGCCGAAGAACAGTCGTTAGTGTCGAGAAATCAAGTTTTGACCGAAAGAGTCTCGAGGATACAACAACGCGCGCTGTAACTCAATATAGGCAAAAACTGCTGTTGTTAAGCTCCAGATAACTGACATGGTGTGTGTGTGTGTGCCACTGCAAAAAGCAGTTCAAAAGGGTTGAGCTAAAGAATTACATCTTTGTTTAGTTCTGCACATCCATTTATCGCTATTTGCTACTTTCCTGATATATCATTTCTTCTCCCCTTTTCGCTTTCTTCCTTTTAAGGGGTTTCTTTCCTCTGTTTCCTTCTTTATAAATGAATGGTACATATGGGCCAAGCAAGAACAAAACACTATACACAGACAAGACGGCAAACCCCAGAGTTAGCATTGTGATAACAAACCTGCAAAGGAACATGAAACAGAGGAAATTGCTTCAGTTTTTCTTTTACTACAACAGAACAACAGACCAAACTGTGTCTCTACTCTATAACGGGGTTACAGGAACATATGAAGTGTTTTCGACCGATACAACGTAAAGTTCCCTCTTTTTAACCGTTTTCAAGGGGGAACTGAACTACCAACAATGTTAATCATAAGAAGAAGCTCAATAGAGAGAAGTGACATTATCATTCGGGAATCCAGGCCAGGATGAAATTTATCAATCGTCTTTGTGATGCAAAACACTAGGCAGGCTATTATTACCATTGAGTGCGGCAATGTATATTCTCTTCTCGGCTAGTCCAATATCTGACATTACTAGATCACCCTGCACCCACAACCAACACACCAAGAATAGTTGGAGCAGTAAACAGACTATTGTTTGTGTAAGTACGGATTAAGACACATGATTACTATGTACACAGCACCATAGCTAAAACGTAAGCATGTACCTCGCGTGCCATCAACCGCCGGATATTATTAGCATATAGTTTAGGGTCAGTCTTCTCTTCTTGGGAAGGGTAGTAAACAGGTAGCCTTATCACTTCCAAGTGATTTACAAATTGGCACAACAGAAGAATAACATGACGGAACTGCAGTGGAAGACATGTCAAATCTATTATGACGAGTAAACAAGAGAATTTTCTAGCCAGAGACACTTTCCAGACAACCATATACCGATATGGAAGACAAAGTTCATCTACATGTATATTTAAACAGGAATGGAAAGCTCACCCCCGATATCGAATCCCAGGCAGCACTAAACCTCTGGTATGGATACCGCAGAATCACTGGAATAACAGGTGCCCCAGCTAAGAATCCACCCGTCTTAAAAGGAAGGAGGAAGTCCCCATTAGTAGTGGTTCCTTCTGTTAAAATGTTGCAGATAAAAAACAAGTGTTAGTGAGCCCGCTGAACTGAATGGTATTATCATTCTTACAGCATTTCTATGCGAGAAGGATACAAAATGTATACTGACAGATAGAAAGAGGAAAAGTTCATTATAATGTCGATAAGGTCGTCTTTATGCTACAAAGACAAGAATAGAGAAGTCACAATGGAGCTTCCAGAATGACGTGTTTAACCAGTAAAAAGAGACAAGATTAGTTATTCTGGGAGTTGAAATTACTCGGAAGAACTCTGCAGCCTTGTAATAAGGCGCCCTTTTGCTAGGTGGTTCAGACCCATAGAAGGTTTGACATACTTGGGGTTGCTTCCAAAAGAGCTTAATCTAGAAAGATTTATGACAACAGGATCTCCGAGAAACTGATTTATGCCTACTTCCATGGGTAGTAACAGATTTCCCACTTGGAACATCATGACCAGATAATATGGGACACAAGGAGAGTAATATCCTGCGACTAAACTACCAATACCATAAGCTGCTATATCCAAATTAGGAAGTAAAACCATAAACAAACTTCAAGCCATTAGAACCAAAACTGTTTGTATATGTTTTTCCTATTATCATTTGTAAAACAAATATATATTATATCATAAAACCAACTGATAACAACTTGAGTGAACAAACATAACAGTTTTAGATGTCACTAACCAGGAAATAACATCATCATGGGAGCAGATTCATCCTCATGAGATTCTTTAACTCTCTCAATCACAATACCTGCAAGATTTTTTGGATTTAAAATCTATAAATAAATAAAAAAGTGATATATGGTTCTTCCCAAAGCTACAATATCACCATAACTATCTACTCCTTCATATATTGCAGCACAAATATGTAGCTTTGGTGAATTGGTACTGAACGTATGGATGCTTTGACATCCAACAAACCATTGCACGATTATATTAGCCTTATTTTAGACCCAGTGTAAAAGAGGTCCCTTGCAATAAGTATCCCCTTTAAGGACTACGTTCAAGTTTCATGAGTCGCATAGTATAAGAATAGCAGGTCCTGCACAGTGCATACCTGCAACACCTTTAAAGTCAGATGACTTCGACTCCCGTTGGACAAAGACGCATCCAAGGCACTTGCTGTCAGATAACAGAACACGAAAGCAAAAATTACCTTTCATATTCAGACAATATCATTTCTTGTAGACCTCTTACAACACTTGAACACAAAAGAGAATAGTTATGATGATGAAGTGAACTAACCTGATGAGACCGACCAAAGGAAGTTTACCCACTGATCTCTTGGGCACCAGAAGATTCGGTCAATAGACCACATAAAACGAAAAGAAGCAATCAGTAATAGCAGCAAAAAGTTTCAGAGTACCACCATCATAAGAATAAAAAAAAATATATGGCAGGCTTGAGCATACCTTGGCAACAAAGCTGGAAAAAGACGACGACATGTGGTACAGAATATCAACATACGAGACATGGTTGCATACTATCGCCCCTGGTCTTTCAGGTCGTTGTGATTGGATTTTGCCATCGTTCTGATCCAAAATTCAAGAGCAGGGGAATACAAATGTAAAGTAAGATATAGCTCTCTTTGAAACTAAAAATTCCAGGTAGACAACACATTTCAGAGGGCCAGACTGAATGCAGTATAGCAACAAGCTGAAGCATAAAGCAAGTATCAATGACTTCAGAAGCTGGGTGATTGACACAATCCCAAGTCCCATTTCAGAAAGCTGGCTAGAGAGAGACAGTTTCTGTAACTCATTATGAGCCTCGAAAGTCAGCAGAACACCATACATAATTTCAGCTTGGAATAAATAGTCATTCATCTCCTACTTCCTCTATTCCTCCTTTTGGCCAATTTTGTACTCAGTGGAGTGGCAGCATTCTTGTAACCAATAAGCAGCAGTAAGCCACAAAATCCCAAGACACCAATTACCAAAAAAAAAGCATGCAACCAGAGTACGGATAGAGCATTCCCAGCTATTCAATAATGGCAGGACACGAATACCAACACAAATCAGAATTTGCAGATACCAAGTATGCATCATATACGGAAGAACTGGTAAAATACCTGAGAGGATGACTTGCCTTGAGGCGGAGATTGCTCTTGCTCTAAATCCCTAAAACTCTCGCTTATCCAATAGAACCCAAACACAAACAGCATGACCCTGGAGAGGAACCTGCCACAGGAGACGACGACGGTCCTCCGCCACCCTCTCATGTGAGCGAAGTCCTCCTGCTCCTCCGCCGCCTCGTCCCGATTGGGCGAGGAGAAGAGCGTGCAAATCCTACACACCAAGTAGTAGAAGAACAAGATGAGGGTGGCCAGCACGACGCGCAACGGGAGGAGCGTGACGCAGGCGACGCCGAGCAGGAGCTTCTCCACGAGCGGCAGCTCCCCGCGGCCGAGCGGACCGTAGACGTCGTGGCGGGCGAACGCGGCGAACTTCTTGTTCAGCTCTTCGAGGCTCTCGGCGGAGATTCGGCCGGAGGAGGACGAGCAGGAGTCGGATTTGAGGAGCGGCCGGTCGTCCTTCTGTGAGGCGTCGTCGACGGGGGACGCCGATGAGGGAGAATCGGGGGAGATGACGTGGCCCTTGGGAGGCACTGGTTTAACATCGTGGAGCTCAGTCTCCATCATTTTTTTTTTCTGATGGAGAAGGCGGCCAGCGAGTGATGATCGGCGGAATCGGAAGAAGTTAGAAAGGTTGACGGTGGAGAGAGAGGAGCGGATCTTGTCGTCGGCGCCGGCGTAGATCTATCGGTGGAAGAAGGAGCGACATGGCGATGAATGATGATTAGGCGCTGAGACGACTCTCTGTCTCTATCCCTCTCCCTTCTCGTGAAGATTGCGGACGCGGAGATAATTCCGTACGGGAAGTCCCAACGCAGTCAGTCAGGCTGTCACGTCGCCGTTAAGTGACGGGTCGGGATACAGATGGCTCGCTGCTGACACTTGGATTGGTCTGATCCGACGGATGATTATTGAGTACGCTTGGAAGCTAACGGACCACCCAACGCAGCCGCGATCAAGCAGCCACGATCTCTGTGTAATACAATAATATATATACTATTAAAATGAAAAAGCATGATCCGTGAATGATTAACTGGGTTAATTATCTGTCGTAAGTCTTGACTATTAAGACAGCCAAGATGAAGTTCCGTATTAATTAAGAAAATTGAGGTTGGATTCGTGATCCAATTAGAGAGATACTCTTGTAGACGATGTACAAATGCTATTGGGACGTGTAAAAGGAAAACAAGTCTAAATAATAGAGAAGGATTGTTGATAACTTGATCGTGATAAATAAAAATAAATAGTTTTGAGATTTCGGGTAAAAACATCTTTAATCTTTTACAATTGTCACTCAGATAGTCAAACATCATTAATTTGACTACAATTGATTGTGTGGCCCACGTTGCCTCTTCTGTCGCATTCAAGCCCATGGCCGCTGCAGCTACTATCGGCCCAGTACTGCCACATGCAGTAGCAAAGCCCAAGGCCGACTTTAACGGTCTATCTAAGATCTATAGACTATAATGCTGTAGGAAACTAGGAATGCAACTAGCCAACTACACATTGTAGAAAGACTTGGCCGTTCTTGTACTAGTTCTTCCTCGTTTCCAAACGAACTGGATCGACGTCAAAACCATAGAGACAGTGTATCCTAAAAGGCTAACACCAGATCCCAAAGAAGAGTAAAATTGGTAGCAATACTTCCCAAGAAAATCAGGAACTAGCCATACCCATCATTGCTTCGTGGCTGAAAGCGGTGTTATAGCAAGGAGCAAAACAGCTCCTCCAACAGCTCATCTGCAGAAACTGATTGAAGCTTTCTCAAGTCGGAGCTCTCAAGAAGAGAAACATGCTGCTAGCAAACCAAACACCAATTCTGCAGATTCAAACTACAAGAAGAGAAGAACTCCATAGCATACAGCTCATGTGCTAATCCAAGTTTCAACTAATCAAATGCCGCAAATCGCCAACGAGCTTTGCTCTGCAATATTTCAAAACACATGGAGTTCTCAATTTCTCACTCGAACAGTGACCTCACTAATCCCAGAAATCTGCCTAGAATTCATAGTTAGTAACAATGCCAATCCGGCGGAGAACCCGATTCAGGATTCATCCCCATTACAGTAACATCAAGCAAAAGATGGCCACACTCAGAGGCCAGAGCTAATCACTCACCCGACTGCAATTCTGTAACTTTATTATTCAAATCAAGTGGAGTATCGTTTAAGAATAAAACCCAGAGATCTCTTTTTTCAGTTCTTCATAATCCATTATTGGGCAAAGCAAATGTGTTGGAAGGTGTATTGAACTAACTAACATTTCCTCAGAATACAAATGTTGTTTGTTTTACCTGTGATTTCCCAAGCTCAGCAGGCGGCCCAGTTCTTCTGGGTACTAATTATGGCTGACAAAAGCCCCGCGCAGGACAAAAACAACGGCGACGACAGCTTCCCTTTCCCGTCCCTAATATCAGCCAACGCCATAAACCCATCGGCGAAATCCTGAACGATCGACAGCTTCTTCAACACCATCTTCGCCTTCAACTTCTCCATCCTCTCTTCTTCCTCGCCGCACCGAACCCCTCTCGAGTGCGCTATCTCGATCGTAGACGACAGCGCGGCCATATCTCCGTTCAATTCGTTCAGATCCCTAAATTTCAACGAGATGCTCCCGACGTATCCGGCGAATTCCGCCCAGGCGCTGATTTTCCCCAACCTCTTGGCGTGCCTCCCGTCGATTAACCCCGATTTGGACAGCCACACGAACTGCTCGACGAAGTAGTAGATTCCCTCGCCGCCGTAGGCGAGGATGGAGAGGATCAATTCCTTTCGGGAGTGGAAGTGGGAGGAGCTGCCGCCGCCGCGGCGGAGGGAATTGACGTCCTGGACGAATTTTCCGAGGCGGAATGCCTTCCGGCTGAGGCCGACGCTGGACTCGAAGCTCTTGAGGCGGGTGGTTAGAATTAGGGTTTCGGGGAGGATCGAGGAGGAGAGGATGATCTTGGCGGCGTACCGCGAGATCTTGAGGAGCTTGTCGACGCCGTCTCGTTTGGAGAGGTAGGCTTCGAGGTGGGTCAGGAAATCTCGGTCACTGACTTTCGGGTTGGCTAAGGCGACTGGTTTGGGGGGAATCAGAGGGGTGGTGGTGGTTATTTTAGCTTCCGCTGCCGGAAGGTTTGCGGTGGCGGTGGTGGAATCCATGGAAGGGAATTGGACGGGGATATTTTCCGGGTTGTTGTCAGTAAAGAAACCGGCGGGTGGAGGATGGCTGGCTGATTCAGACAGGGGAAGATTGCTTTGGTTGTCGCGAGTTTATGGGGAAGAGGAAGCAAACGGCGTCGTTTACGGTCAACACGTTGCGGCCGTCTCTTGTTTTATAGATTCGCGTGCCAATAAGTATTATCTCCATTTGAATTCAATTTAGATGTCAGGAGGTAGGGGTGGGCATTCGGTCGGTTCGGTTCAAACCGAATCGAAATTATGCATACCGGGTCCCCGAATTCTAGCAAACCTCAAACTGAATTCGAACTGAATTATAATTCGATTCGGTCGGTTCAAATCGAATTATAATTTGGTTCGGTTCGATTGTTCATACAAAACCGAAATAGTGAGGTTAGCTTGTATCTTCTCTTTTTTAAATTATTTTTCACCCATAATGTGAACAATAAATATGCATCGTCAATGATAAAATCAAACATTTCAACACATAAGTCATAAAACACTAACATGATTCAAATATTTAAGTCTCATAATAAGTAGAAACATAAAAATCCACCATTTAAAGCTTGCAATTATAATAATTCGGTTTTTCGGTTCGGAATTCGGAAATTCGGTTCGGTCGAAAGGACCCTGATTTCCGAAATATGCCCTTTTCTCTTCCGAATTCCGAACCAAATAACATTAATTCGGTTTCGGTTCGGTTTATATTCGGTTCGGTTCGGTTTTACCGAACCGTATGCCCACCCCTATCAGGAGGGTAAAATGGAAAGAAATGAAGGGATTTGAGGGTAAAATACCTCGGGTACCACTTAAATTTGAGAATTGGGGTAGCCATACCACTTAAGTTTGAATAGGGCGTCGGGTACCATTGAACTCTATTATATGTGCAATCGGTACCACTTAAGTTTACTGCTATGTGCATTGCGTTAAAGTTGACAGAATATTTCTGGAATATTCCGTTTTCTAAATTTCATAATTGGTCCTTCTACTTATCTTATTGTAAAAAAATCATTTGGACTTATGAAAAACATAATATTTTTTTATTTAATTGGAATTCTCTTTTGAATACTTGATAGCAAATTAATTTTTCAATAGAAAATTTAGAATCAATTATCATTATAAGTATTTTCAATTATGATTACGTGTTCTTATAATTGAATAATTTTCTGAAGCAAATATCTCTTATGAAATTCTATCTCGATATAAATAATATGAGAATGTTATATTTAGTTCTCTTACACTATGGTGATGTTATCCAATTTTCTATGTTAAATCTCATTTTAATTCTCTAATATTATATTGTAGATGTTTCATATTAGTTAAATTTAGTAATTCTAATTCTCTTCCTATAATCATATTTTATTTTCTGCATTTTTTACTAAATGTTGTAGCTTTTATAGTTCATTTATTACTTGATTACTTTCCATCTCTTTTCGTTCTAAATGTTTTTTCAATTACTGGAATATGTTTTATTTCTTATGATTGTGTTCCATTTATCATTCTTTGATTTTGATGTATTGATGATCGATTAGGTTCTATTTTAAATATTTCTAATGATGCTTCTAATTGAATTAGGGTGATTAAATAGATATTATAATATTAATTTTAAATATTTATTATGCTATTCTAGTGTATATATTATTTTTCTTAATATTCGTTTAATATTTTTACTAATTTATCTATTTTATGAAAATTATTGATTAGCCATTTTAGTAATAATATACTTAGAAGGTTTTCTAATTTTTATATTAGATAAAACTTGTGGAAATATAGTTTTGAATGTTTTAAAAAATTTTGGGTACCGAAAAGTAATTAAAAGTTTGGATTGGATGGAAAAGTAGACGGGTGCACATTTTGTCGACTTTAATGGTGACCCGACGCCCTATTCAAACTTAAGTGGTATGTCTACGCCCTATTAAATTACCCAGGGATTTGATGAGGGTTAATTGCATTTGCGTGGTTGTCACTAAAATTAAAAAAAAAAATTCAAGTTTGGTCACTAGAAATATTTAAATTTATTGGTGGTACTACATTTTATTGAAATTATTCACGTTTGGCCACTCTTCGTCCAACTCCGTTAATTTTTGCTTACGTGACGGTCAACTCTAAAAATTGACCGTTAAATGTGTGACGTGGCAATTTAAAATTAATAAAATTAAATTTTATTTTAATTTTGGATTAATATTTTTTATTTTATTATTATTTTGGATTAATATATTTGTATGGACAAAAGTTTGCACATAATAAACATCCTGGACAATCTTTTCGATTTATAACATCCTGACCCAAACTATACATCAGAGTAACGAAATTTACCAAACTCGATGTTAGACCGTTATCTTGGATAGTCAAACGCGTTGACTAATGGTCAACACGCCACGTCACTGCCTAGTCAGCAACTTTCACTTAATTTTTTTTATATTTTTAACTTATTACCATTTTTCTTTTTCTTTGTTTGAAATGAAATTACTTTTTTTCTTCTTTTGGTTCAAAATGAAAATAAAAATGGTAATAGTCAGCAACTTTTTTTCTTAACATTTTACTTAAAGTATTTTACTTTTTATTATTTTCTTTGTACCACGTGGCCTCCATGTCATCGATATTGGGTGTCTGGATAGTGACGTGGCAGGTTGACCGTTATTCAACGGTTTTGACCGTCCATCATAACGATGAACTCTCATGTTTGGCAAATTTAGTAAATTTGATGATTAGTTGAGGTCATGATGTTATAAATCGAAAAGATTGGCCAGGAGTATGGAAGGTAGCAAACCATAGCTCAATGGCAAATGCATTCAACTATTGTCTGATATGGTTTTTCACCCAATAGAAGAAGTTGCTGGAAAGAACATTGCATGGCTAGGAAGAAGAGCCAATCGCGATTCCAGTAATCGATCAGATGTAGCCAACAAAGAAAACAAATGACAATCATCTATACACCGTTTCTCCAGCTCAGCCCTATTTACATTCTTCTCAGTCCCAACTTCCAACATATCCCCAGACTACTTTCGAGTTCTCTTCAGTTCTTGGTGGTGAGGCAAATTACCCTGAAGTTCGTAGTAACCCTCTATGTTTACTTCACAATCAGGAGGAAGTGCATCCCCTGCTTAAAGCACAACCAGCTCCACTCCGTTGATGTCAGCGAAAAAATGGAATTCCTAGAGACGAGGAACAGCAACCATGCGCAGCCTTGCCACACAGGAGGCATACGAGAAGCTAAAGCTCAGCATGCGGAGGCTGTGGCAATTAACCTGAATGACTGCTCTTCCGTCAACGCCACAAAAAACTCAATCTTCGCAAGAAAAGTGTCGCACTGACGAGGAAGTTGCGAAAATGTAGTCAAGCGTTGTTGGCATCAATCCACGCACACCCTAGTGTCAAGAAACTGAATGAGATTCAAATAGCTCAAATTGAACACTAAAATTCTATTCCATGTGAGGAAGATAGACAGATAGATCAAGCGACACTCATTCTACTTAGCTCAAATTGAACACGAATTTTATGCAATGCTAGCAAGATAGATAGATGGATCACTTACCATTAACGCCAAATTTTGAAGCTGGGTCAGGCCTTGGCTTAGGAAAAATTCTGGGGTGAGGTGATCGATCCTCACCCCGGGACATCATGGTGGTAATTGGACACACTCAAGACTTCAACTCGCTGCTCTAAACCGAACGTAATCCACCTCAATAGCTGGTCTTCTAGTTCCCGGAGATCAGAACTAATTTGCAATTTTCCACGGGGATCCTCGGTTCGGCTTTGACTATTGCATCCAATGCGCGATCGACTTTGCCGGCAAAAAGCCTCTGTTCTTCCAAGTTACGCAATGTGCCCGCATACCCATATTCGAAGTTCAGAAATCCACTACTGCCAATGGCTTTCCACGCCCCGTTCCACACTCTGTTGACAAGAGAGCATTTTTCTGCCGCGTTCAAGGCAGGCATCTTCAAAGCAATTACCCCCTAGAATTTTGAAATTACATACAAAATATTTTACGAGTTATGGAAATTACGTATAAATTAAAGCTTATAAAGAAATACCTATAGTGTGCAACACAGTAACAGGCAGTCAGCATACAGTCTAGCGGGTAGGAGTTTCTTTTCCTCCCCATATACTCGCGTTCAAACGGGCTAAGATCAGGTGACTAAGGGGGGTTCCCTTAGTCACATGACTAAGTCAATCCTAGCCTTTCAAGTTCATTAAAATCTAATGGCTCTAATTAATTCAATTTAATGAAGGGTAGTGTAGTAATTACATGATTCATGATTATTTTATTATAAGAAATTAATAATTATAAAATCCAACAGCAGCGATCCCGGCCGTCCAGCCCGTCTCCTCGCCGATGGAAATTTCACGGCGGGCCGTCAGTCTTTCCGGTGCGTTCCAAGAGACAGCCATTCTTGGTTTGTCCCAGAGAGAGCAGGGACGGAGCTAGCTCATGGATAGGGGGGGCCATGGCCCCCCCTAAGATTAGAAAATAAGTTGAATATGACTTGCATGACCAGATGATGGCTGTAGTGTAATTGGTAGAAATGTTAACTTGCAACTGTTAGGTACATGGTTCAATCCATGGGTAGGTTTATGGTTTTTTATATATATTCAATTTTTTGTAATTTCTTGTGTAGTGTTCAATCTATTGTTGGTTTTGTATATATATTCAATTTTTTGCAATTTATTGTGTAGTGTTCAATCTATTGTTGTCTCAACAAATAATAATGGGTTTTGTTTCATTTGTAATTTATTATATTTTTGTTCCTATGTCTCCTTTTTCTTTATTTCTTATTAAATTACATAGTTATTTGATTTCACTATTATTTAATAATGATAGTTATTTGCTCATAAAATTCTTGTTTGACAACTTAATAATAATACCTTTCTAACTTATTGTGTTATGTTATAATTCAGATGTGTTAATTATTAGCTCATACAATAAGTAGTTTTCTTGAGTTTGTGATTTTTCTTTTTTGTTTGTTTAGTGTTTTCTT